CGTCAAGGTTAACTCCAAATGTTCAATGTGGACGATTGTGTTTTCCAAAGAGCTTTTTTTCATTTAACAAGTTAAACGGGGCCAATTTGAACGTAGTATAAACGACGATATGTAAGTATAATTTTGATCACTTTCCTCATGCGTTCTGAACCCTAGTCATCAACCCCATTTTCGAAATTATGTAGGCGGTATAATTTTAAAGTCCATCATATTCCACATCTTTGAATGTACTGATAAATTCTTCTGCTTTCAAAAAAATATTTTTTCTAGTGATCAGGTAGCATGAATTTGATGAAATGTCATAATTTTATTAAAAGTCAAATGGTTAACAACAACAACGAATGTCATTAAATGGAACTACCTTCNCTGAACTACATACATACATACATACCTCACGTGAACAGAGTGTATTGAGCCATCCTCTCTTACTCTTCGACGGTGGTCTGTGATCTTTTTGGGTGGTGGATAATCCAAAAGGCTAACGCATTCGTAGGATTCTAGACAACACCCGAATTTTAGTAACAATCAGCATTATTGCGTGAGTCGTGTCGAAGGCAAGTCGTTTTTCGAGAGTCGAATCATATCGAAAATTTCACGTTATTGCCTAACATTTCCACTCGACTAGTGTATTGAAACAGAAAAACTTGGCATCACTGCATAGTTTTCGACTATTTTCGTCGTTTACTTGTCGACTATTTTCGTCGTTTACTGTTTACTTGTTTCAGCACGACAGTCGACCATGCGTATGTTTGCGAGTCGTACATTTAGCCTAATTTACGACTTACGCAACGAGGCTGAATATTATAACCAATCATCCAAAAAAATGGGAGTAATCGATTTATTTTAACACATACATACCTACCATGCAAACTTAAACTCAAAAACGCCTTAAAAACACCATAAATGCCATCATTATTATATGGGTTACGTTAAAAGTCGCAAATATGTGCCTTTTTTTAATCGAAAGGAAAGATTCCGAACTTTATTTTTTCTATAGCTAGAAGACGTAAGAAGACCGAGAGAACACAGTTTTTGTCAATAAAAAGTACCAAAATTGGCATTTATTAAGTATAACTTTGCTTATATTGCTTATATTTATTAAATTATTGGGGTTTTTGCGCTGATTTTTACTCTATTTGGACAAGTAAATGCTATATTTTCGTATGCACCTACAACAAAAGCAATCAAAACAAAAGTTATTAGAAAAAAACTTGGAAATGTAGTTGAACAAAAGTCTCAGTAAGTTTTAAATAGTTGAATAAAGTTCTTCTGACTTCTGCCCCTTTTATTTTGTACAAAATTGTAACTTTCGTAAAAAGCTATAATGAATTTTTCTTTTTCAAATATTGCTTTAACCGTCCAAATATAAGAATTTAATTTTCAAAAAGTTGAATTTTTTTGGCCCAAAATCCCACTGTGCGACTTCTTGATTTTTTTTTTTTTGTTTGTGCAGATAGTGGAAAAAGCGGAGTAGCGCTCTAAATATTCTCGAAAATTTTATCATCTACGATCATATGAAGTAAAGTTCTAACACCGAGTCTAAACTTAGCTGTATAATAACAATATATTTGTTTAAAGGGTTTTATTTTCTATGTATTTTTTTGCAATGCTTACCTGTGAATTCTGTATTTTGTTTAAGGTCCTCTAAGACTTCTGGCTTCAATTTACTGTTTTGTTTACCCATTTTGATTACTCATGCTTTGATTTCTCTGAAGATAAAAGAAAAACAAAGATTTACAACAAAGCTAAAAATTCCTGTTAATAAAAAATTTTAATAAAAAAAACTCCAAATTAATGATAAATATATTAAGATTTTGTTACCGTTATTGATCGTGTGCGCTTCGAACTTGAACAACTAGCAGATTATTAGCGAGCTTGAATGGGGTTGCTTGAATAGATATACGAAAAATACAACGCCAATACAGCAAAGATTAAAATAGAGGCAAATAAATCCAATTAGCATAAGTAAGATTCTCAAAAAAATTGTCAAATCTAACATCATTGTAAGCAGTGAGTTTACGAATAACACTGTTGTTAAACGTTTGCTTTAAAAATCGCATAAAAATTAAGCGTTTCTACGTTGATTGATACTTAGCGGCATAAACTTTTAATTACTACAGGGAAACCTCGATATAACGAAAAACTCAATATAAAAAAATGTTCCATAGATATAAATATATACATATTTTGAGCATGGAAACCTTCTAAATATATTAGCGGTTAAAGTCCTGTTAACAAAAGGCATCTATAAAACACAATATCTCGACTTAGAAGCCTCTACATAACGAATTCGGAATACGTTGACGGTTAGAGACCCCTTATAAAAAACGAACCTATAGGTACTTATAACGAATTTTTTCCAAAATTTTGAATTTTTCGTTGTATGGAGGTTTTGATATTTTATAAATATATCAAACCTACAGCATTCGTCCAACTTTTTAGAAGCAAGAGATTTGCATTTTTTTTTTGGGCAGAAAAGTCAAAAGTGCTTAAATAAATTATTTTGGAACTAGGTATAAACTAAAAAAAAAAAACACTTTTTTATTCAAATTAAGCTTAACTAAGTGTGTATTACTTGTCATAACGGCCCACACTTTCCCCATTACCCTTATTCCCCGGTAATTTTCACACATCTACAACTCGTTTTTTATGTAGTAAAAATAGCTTTTATTTTTTTGTTTTCTTTTTATTTTTGCTGAAGACACATACGAAAGAAACACAATGACTCGTATAGAATTTGTGGAACAAATTAGCTTCTGCAACTTAGGCGTTTTTTATCTGCTTAGTTTTGCTATTTAGAATGCACTTACATGCCAAGCATTAAGAAGCGTTTGGCGCATTGTCGAAAATAAAAACAAGAAATTTACCAAAAAAAAAAAAGTGCGCTGCAGTTGAGGATAGGTTTTGTTTAACTTTCTTTATTCTTTTGTATATGAATACTATGCATATAATAAAAAAAAAAATATTTCTGATTTTCAATTTTGTTATTAATTTTCTACTAATTTTTTTCACATTTTCGTTTTTTAATTATTTTACTTCCGCCACGTTTGTGACTACCAGCTTTTCTAAACAAACCTATTAGACGCACCGCAAGTGGTATGCGTTTTTTATTTCGAGCAATTTTTTTTTTTTTTTTTTTCAAAACAAACAAAACTTATTGCGAGTCATACGCCTGCGATACTAAAATTAAAAGAAAACTGAAATGCCAATACTGCAATTTGCTACCAATTGCAAATGCATTACAATGTCCCCGAATAAAAAAAAAATATATAGATACATATATCCATATGCAAATAAATGTGTGATATCGGGGCAGTAGTAATACGTCAGCGTCTAAGCGGAATCTTTATTTGTAGTAGCCTATATTCGCAGCAATCAACACTTAAATAATAAAATAAAATTTAAGAAAATATTTTAAAACGGAACGAAACGAAAAACACTAGACTACATGAGAGCTACATATGTACAAGTAATTGTTAGAGCTACTGCTGCAAACATAACTACACACATACACAAGTATGTACGTGCATTTGCACTTAATTAGATTTGTTTTTCAATGCCTTTATTGCAAAAAATTACAAGAAACAAAAGCATAAAAATACAAGTTTTATTTTACTCGTAAGTATGTATGTCCGTATGTAGCAAGTTTGTATAAAATATTGAAACACAATGTTAAATTTTAGTAGATGCCTTAGTATTCATTTTAGGAAATGTAAATTTATAAATTTTATGATATAAATGATTCAATAAATTACATAAACCACAATGGGTCATTTGCTTATTTTTATTTTGTTTTCTTTCAAAATTTCTTGTGGTTGTTTCTTTGGTTTTTTTTTAAATTTTATTTTGTGAGGGGGTGGTTGTTGGTTTTTATGTTTTCTTTTTATTTGGTTGTGGTGTTTATGGGGCCAACATTTTTGAAAGTTCCTCATCTTGCAGGCACCCTTTTAAAAATTCATCTTGGGTTAATTGACCATCATTGTTTTCGTCCATTTTTGCGAAAATATTTTTTGCACGTTCCTCAGCGGAATCGGCTGGTCGATTCGATGAACACGCGCCGAGCATATCGTATATGGCCTGTAAGATTAAAACAAACAAAACCGAAGCACACACAATAAATATACTATAGAGATTCAATGGAACATACACATTTACACTCACACACCCACGCATGCATGTAGTAGTATGTGAAATAAAAACTATAGCTTTATATGAACACACAACACAGCTCACCTATAAATTAATGGGCGCAGACATACATAAATTAATAAGTAGTTTGAGCAAACGTGAACTGAGGGCATAAATTAAAAGCATAATTACAACATTTGTGTGTGCAAGAGAAAAGAAGGAAAAAGCTAATTTTTCGTGTATAGAAAGTTAGCTGGTATTTTTTTCTTTTAATTACTGTAGTAAATAAAAATGGCTTTTTAACGTTGTAACTCAAATAAAATGGCAAACAAAAAGGCACAACATGTCTGCAGGTGTTTGCGTCACATACTACGAGTACATACATACATACATACATACATATATATCTGCAATAATATATACTAGTATTTTACTACCTGAACAATTTTCGTCATTTCTTGTATGTCAATTACGCCATTACCGTCTACGTCGTACATGCGGAAAGCCCATTTGAGCTTCTCCTCGGGAGTGCCACTCGATGTAACGTCTATAGCAAGAAGAAATTCCTAGAAAATCGTATGAAATTGTAAAATCACGCTCGCATAATTTAAACAAAAAAAAAGTACATAATACTAAAAAATATTAGGATACGGGCAAACTTTGAAAAATAATCCTTACATAGAATACATTTTCATACACAAGCATACTTACAAATCGTGCAGTATATATATATTTTTTTCAATATAAAAGCCTACCCACTAAACATTTTTTGTTGCTGGCAATAAGAAAGCGTGTTGCCCTCGGAAACAAATTTATTGCCGGTAATATCGCCATTTTATCGATTTCCTATTACCAGTCGCTCTAAAACGTTCGCCGAAGGCAACTCGCCTGGGCGAGTCGTTTTCTTATTACCTGAATGA